TGTGCTGCTTCTGCAGGTGTCCAATCGTTGTATCTTGGGAGACGCTTTACCACATATCATAAGCAGCGTGGACGGGGTAAAAACTTCTTAAGGACAGAGAGCCTAGTTCTCGCCTCGATCATCCTTATTCCGAATTCTGCAGTTGTTTTAAGCTTTATGTTTTACTCGTTTAATACTTTCTGTTCTTACTCGTTTAGATTATTACATTCCGTTCTTACTGTTTAGCAAGTTAAATCTGGAAATTTTAATTTTTTGCAACAATTTTCAAAACCAACACCATCATCTAAAATTACCGATATCACCATGACCATCACTACCCACCCACATCCACCACCACTAATACAATCATCAGAGGCTCCTTTTTGGAAAGAAGCTATCAATAGTGAAATTGAATCGATAATGCAAAATCATACTTGGGAGTTGGTTGATCTCCCACCTGGAAATAAACCTCTAGGTTGCAAGTGGATTTTCAAGAAAAAGTTAAAATCAGATGGATCTATTGATAAATACAAGGCTCGTTGTTAGCAAAAGGATATAGACAAAAAGAAGGTCTTGATTTCTTTGATACTTACTCACCAGTAACGAGGATTTCTTCGATAAGAATCCTTATTGCAATTGTTGCGATACATAACCTCGAAATTCATCAAATGGATGTTAAAACAGTCTTTCTAAATGGTGAGTTGGAAGAAGAAATATACATGGAGCAACCTAAAGGATTTGTCGCTCATGGACAAGAGAAAAAGCTTTGTAAACTCGTTAAATTTTTATATGGATTAAAACAGGCGCCAAAGCAGTGACACCAAAAGTTTGACAAAATAATGTTGTCAAATGGGTTTAAAATTAAAGAGTGTGACAAATGTGTGTATAATAAGAGTACACCGACAGCATATATCTTAGTATGTTTATATGTGGATGATATGCTAATTCTAGATAGCAATCATGATATCATTGTGTCTAGTAAGAAAATGCTAACAAAACATTTTGACATGAAGGACATGGGTGTAGCAGATGTAATTCTTGGAATTAAAATTTCTAAAACACCAGATGGCTTCGTTTTTTCACAATTATGTTGAGTTTGTGCTAAAGAGATTTGGAGTCTTTGATGAAAGTCTAGTCAAAACTCCAATAGACACGAGTCTACACTTAGCAAAAAATAGAGGTGAACCTGTACATCAATTAATATATTCTCAGGTTATTGGGAGTTTGATGTATTTAATGAACTGCACATATCCTGACATTGCGTTCGCAGCTAATAAATTGAGTAGGTTCACATGTAATCTAAGCAATGATCATTGGAAGGCATTGAATATAGTACTTCGATATTTAAAACATACCTTAAAATTTGGATTACAATATATGAGATATCCAGCAGTATTAGAAGGATAATGTGATGCAAATTGGATATCTGATATGAAAGATTCTAAATCCACAAGTGGTTATATATCTACACATAGTGGTGCGACCGTGTCTTGGAAATTCTCAAAGCAAACTTGCATAGCTCGATGAAAAATGGAATCGGAGTTTATAACTTTAGATAAAGCTGGAGAAGAAGTAGAATGGCTTCGTAACTTCTTAGAGGATATACCGTGTTGGCCTAAGCCGGTGCCTGCAATTAGTATTCATTGTGACAATCAGCGAGCTATTGTAAGGGTACAAAATTACATGTATAATGGTAAGCCTAGACATATACGTCGCATGCACAATACCATAAAACAGTTGATCTCAAATGGTATTATCTCCATTGATTGTATGAGATCAAATGAGAATCTTGCGGATCCGCTTACAAAAGGCCTACCTAGAGATCAAGTATATTATCTATCAAAGGGAATGAGATTAAAGCTTAACATGCATGAATCTTAATGATGGTAACTCAACCTTGTTGACTGAAGATCCCAAGATCTTGGTTCAATGGGACAACTAAATTATTAAGATTCAGTTAAGCACTTAACCATCCCTTTATAAAAAAGTGTTGTCTGCAGAATGTAAAATGTTAAGTTGTAACTTTTAATGATTCCTATAACTTGGATAAACCTAGTGGAGTGTAGCAGAATACTCTTAATAGGAGATCACCTATAAAAGTGTGAAGTGGGGCCTCTTCTATGAGAATTTGGGACTTAAAATTCTCTAAAACCACTTATGAATCCCAAGAATTGTTCAGGGCTAAAATGAACACAATTATGAGAATATAAGAATTGGATAGAAAGGTTATTGTGGGGATACTATTGCCTTGGTTTACACCAACGGTCGAACAGTTCAAGACATCGATTCACTGATTAGCCAAGTAAACTCAATAGTATTTCGCTAAGGCATGTTCAAAGCTAAAAGCTACCTCTCGTGATGCAATAAATCTTTCGCTTGTACTCTTTGTTCGTGTCTGCATTGCATAGTCATGATAATTTCCATCCATGTGGGGGATTGTTGGAAATGGTGGCAAGTGGGTCAACTTTGACCGCAATTTTTAGTGGGACCCAATGTTCGACTTGTCGAAATAAATGTTCAATTAAATTCTACGTTCTGAGTAGATGAGTGTAGAATATTTAATTGTGAAAAGCTATTTCAATATGAATGAGAAATTATGGTTGAAAGTTGGACAATAAATAAGAGGAATAAATAGGAAAGAATTGGAAAACTGTTCCAATCCCACATAGGTTGCAAACACAATCTTGAACCATTTAATAAATTTCAAGTTTGGAAATGGGTTTGGACCCCAAGGGGAACCAATAGTCTTTGAAAGGGGGGTGTCTCGGATAATGTCCAGACTAACTAAAGGCCACAAGCGCGCGCCCACTCCGTCGCCGCCCGTCCGACCGACCGGCTCTGCTCGGCTCAGCACGGTACGAGCACGAGCTCCGGTCGAGTCGTGGGCCTATGCTTGGGCTTGGGCCGGGGCCCGTGTCAATATTAATTTTTTAGATAAAATTTATTTAAACTTTTATTTGAATTCAATTAATTCCCTCCCTTTTCACGGTTTATTAACCGAACCATTAGTTTATGAAAACGACGAGTTAAGTAGATGTCTTAACTACTCAACCATGAGTTAAGTGGGTATGAGTGGTGAAACTGCTCAAAGTGGGGAGTTGTACAAGACTCAACCGTCAACTCTCTCCTCTATTTAAAGGATCATCAGGCTTTCATTTCGATATACTAATAAACACAGAAAATACCCGAGTTCATTCTGCATATATACAGTCTTCCGTTTTCTTTTCTGCATTAATCTACAGAGAGTACTTCCGGTTCTGGTTCGCTGTCTTGTAGTCGAAGTACTGCTTTTGCAAGTGTCCGATCGTTGTATCTTGGGAGACGCTTTACCACATATTGTAAGCACCGTGTGACGGGGTAAAAACGTTTTAAGGACAGAGAGCCTAGTTCTCGCCTCAATCATCCTCATTTCGAATTCTGCAGTTGTTTTAAACATTATGTTCTACTCGTTTAATGCTTTCTGTTCTTACTCGTTTAGATTATTACATTCCGTTCTTACTGTTTAGCAAGTCAATTCTGAAAATTTTAATTTTCTGCAACAATTTTCAAAACCAACACCATCATCTAAAAATACCGATATCACCACGACCATCACTACCCACCCACAACCACCACCACTAATACAACCACCACCACACCACACATAACCGTCGTACCACCATCAACAACTACCTCCACCACCAACATAAACACACCACCAATGCCATCACCACAAACACCGTGATCGCTGACATTGCCACCAACAACCACCTGTACGACTATCATCCAACCACCCTTAAATAATCAAATTCAAAATTATTATAGCCACAGCCACCGCAACCACAACCGCATCCGATCCACAACCATAGCAATCACCATCAACACAACCACCAACACCACCATGGACACCACCACCAGATTTCTCCACTCTGGCAAAGAAGACGCCTCTACCTTCATTAGCAACTCCAATCAACCACCACTACCACCGTCAGCTAGAATCCAGTATCTCATAAACACTACGACACCCCCAAACCCGTAACAATCACCAACAAAAAACACACCAAAACTTTGGTAAAGCAGCAAATTGGAGAAACCACCACAAAATATTGCGGCAGTTGCGGCATCGTGTCTCAACGGCGTAGCTTGTGAGTGCCACATGCAGCGGCACAGAGCTGTAGCAGTGTGGTACCGCTTCAAGCTAAGCACACCGACTGTTAAAGGCCACCTGTGCAACGGTGGCACGGTGTGCTGTCTTCCCGAATGGAGGATGGAGGAGGGAGATGAGAGAGAAAAGAGAGAGTAGAGGTGGTAGCACACGACGGCACTGTCAAAGGCTACTTCGCGTCAGTGGGATGCGGCCACTCCTAGGGTAAGGGATGAGAAAGTTGGGAGAAAGATGAAGAAGAGGGAAATTGCTAGATAGAGAGGATAATGTAGAGGGAGGGAGGGAGGAGTGGAAGAAAAGGATAAAATTAGGGTTTTAGGTTTGGGTTAGATGAAATAGATGTATTAATATTTGATTTTTGTATAGATAAAGTTTAGAGTAATGCTACTTGCAGTCGCTCACTGCAGCAATCGTCCTGTGTGGCACACACATGACATGTAGACTATGTAGTTATTTGATGCATTAATGTGGTAGTTTTTGACAACATTTAATGTATCAAATACACACTTGACATGTGTGTGTCACACAAGGCGACTGCAAGTAGCATTATTCTAAAGTTTATAACTGAAATTTTAAAAAGTGCAAGTATGTTGTGGGGGGGGGGGGGGGGG